AGAGAGAGAGAGAGAGAGAGAGAGAGAGAAAGTGAGGGGGGGGAGCGCAAACACCAGACTGAACTTTGAACTTGAAGCTTTAAGCCATTATATAATTGTTGTTAATCCATTTATTAGGTTGGAACCCTCATGTTCTAACCACCTCCCATTAGGCCTCACTTCCCAACGCTGTTGTATTGGAGATTAAATTTCCATCGCATGTTTTTTAGGGGAACACATGTAACCCATAGCACCATGCAACTTCTACCACTTTGGCCTGGTTCTTTAGGCATTGCCAGATACTCGTATGCTGCTCAGGTCTCAGAAACCAAGTAGGAGAGGTCTAGAAGGGGAAGGAGTTGCATACTTGTGGATTTCTCACCATAAACATGGCCTCAGCCACTTTTTCACTGAAGGCTCTAGGCATGAGGATTTCTCCTTTCACAGCAGAAGAGACTGAGCTCAGAGAGGTGAAATGATTTTCCCAGGATTACACAGCTTGTAAGGAAATATTGGTCTTGAACCCAGGCATGGCTGATGCTAAATTCCTACTTTTACCAAGACCAGGATGTGCCTCCAGAACTTAGGGATGATTCAGGAAAGGCCCCTCTACTTCTGGTTGGAAAAACTGAGGTTTAAAGAAAGAAATGACTTTCCAATATTAAATATTAAAACTCAAGTAGGGAAGATCTCTTCCCTTGTCCTTTCAAAATATCACTACTATTGTATTGCTCAAATATGAGATTTGCCACTTTCTAGCTGTACCTATGCGCACATTCATCTTTCTATAGCACTGATTCTTCCTCCCTATCTGGATCTGGATGGCCCTGGTACCTGACCGGGAGCAATGCATCCAGTCCTGGAATGAGGAAGCAGGAAAGGTGCTGTGCTCAGGAGTAGAATATGCTGGTCAACAGGGGCTACCTTCACCACCAGCTGTGAGGCCAGCTTCAGGGGCGAAGGCCCTTATACTGAGTGAGATGTGGACAGCTCCAGGCCCTAACCAACTGCTACGTCTCAAATGCTGCACTACACACTTCAAAAGCATCATCATATTTAGCCCACCCCACCCCACCCAGTGCTCCTGTGATGGTGGCATCATTCCTAACTGCATCTCCAAGTTGGAAAAATTATAGGTACTCTACACGATCAGAGAAACTTCTCTAGTCACCAACTATAGAAATGATCCCTGGGGAGTGGGCGGGGACTCGGAGGGACGCGTGGTGGACAGAAGTTGACGGCGCAGGGCGCGGAGTCGGTGCGGGACCCGAGTCGCGGCGGGAAGTGCTCCTGATGGTGGCATCATTCCTAACTGCATCTCCAAGTTGGAAAAATTATAGGTACTCTACACGATCAGAGAAACTTCTCTAGTCACCAACTATAGAAATGATCCCTGGGGAGTGGGCGGGGACTCGGAGGGACGCGTGTTGGACAGAAGTTGACGGCGCAGGGCGCGGAGTCGGTGCGGGACCCGAGTCGCGGCGGGCGGTGTGCTGTCAGCCCCTCTGCCTCATGCTGGGCCCAGAAAGAGCACCTGGAGGAACTGCCCTGACTTCCGGAAGACATCTGGGAGCCTGGCAGGAGAGTCTGACAGGTGGAGAGTGATGCTAAAAGATGGTGGCAAGGCATCCCAGGCAAATGTAAGAATAGGAGATGTGGTCCTCAGCATTGATGGAATAAGTGCAAATGGAATGACTCCTCTGGAAGCCCAGAACAAGATTAAGGGTTGTACAAGCTCCTTAGAAATGACTCTCCAAAGATTTTAAAAAGTCTTTGTAGACCCCGGCGGCGTGCGCGTGAGCTCCCGGCCTGCGCGGGAGCTCCCGGCCTGCGCGACAACAGACCCAGGAAGGACCCAAGGACCCCAG